TTTTCATATAAAATAAAGTCAAACGACCACTAAACTTTGATAAAAAATGATTTTTTAGGAAACAATTTTATTATTATTTTTTTTTTTAAACAAATTTTATAACCAATTGTGGAAAAAATATCACTTTAATGGACAATTTTCATGTAAAATAAAGCCAAACGAACACAAAATTTAAAAATTTTTCAGGTGAAAAATTATACCAATCAAACACACTTGAAATCATTTTCTCTGCAAAACATTTTTTAGGCAAATGTTTTCCCTATAAAACATTTTCTTTCCACTCACTTTCCACCCTTGCAATCAAACGCACCCTAATAGGAAAAGTTATTTCTTATTTTAGCAATAAAGAGAGTTTTCTTTAACAGAAGTCTAGAGATTTATCTTTAGGAATGATACAGTGAGAGCAAGAAGTTGAAACAACAAAGATCCCATGAAGGCAAGAGGCCGTTAAAGGGAGTGGTTTGCAGATTCAGAACTCGAAGGTCACTTGATTTTAAGAATAAAGATCAAGATCAAAACTAAGGTAAAACCATTATTTTCTTGCAAAAATTAGAATGAATCCTCCTAAGATCTTAGAGAATCGTGGGGAGTATTTGTTATAATGTTTGTGTTCATATTTATAATCTGATATTTAAGATGCTAGGATATACAATTAAATGATTAGATAATCTATTAGGAAGAATGTTAGAAGAAATAAAAAATATTACTTCTCAACTAGAAAATATAAATATATTATCTGAAAAATATAATAGACTCAAAGAAAAATATGAAAAATATGTTACAGATTATTCTAACTTATTAGATCAAAGAATGAATTTATATATGGAGATTCAAAATAGAAGAAACACAAGATAAAACTAGTTTTAGAACTATTCTAAAAAAAGTGATTGCAATATGTAAGAATTCATTTCATTAAAGGTAATATACACTTCTTGATAGATAACTTAAAAAACATAATTGATCGGGCCAAGTACATAAATCTCCCAAATACCCCTTACCCTTTTTTCCTTTCTAGATATAAGACAAGAGGTGAGCAGTGATTCAGTGCAACAGACACAAGTCATTGTGGTGAGCCGTCCGTCAATGCGCATTGAAAAATCCGAAACAATTCAGAGGATCAGAATTATTACCAAACAAAAAAAATCAACAAAAGAAAACGGAAATGAAGGCGTCGTTCAAAGCTAGATATGAGCCCGAGAAGGCCGCCGCCTTCGCTACCGTCACCGCCAATGCCGGAGACTTCAAACTACGCGCCTCCATGACCGACGCTACCATTGTTAACGGCCCCTGCTTAAACGGTTTATCCTTGGCCGTTGAAAAACCTGGTTTCTTTATCATCGATTACAACGTTCCCAAAAAAGTAATCAACAAACTAAAAATCTCTTTCCTCTTTCAACAATTTCACATTATTTTTTGTTGTTATTGTTATATATCTGGCTTTTAACTGCTGATAATTGGGTTGACTCGGGATTTAATGCAGCAATCAGTAATTGATAACTAATGGTCAGTAATTTAACAGGCATAGTATTTTTCTAATATATACGAATCTTAAATACACAATTTTGGTAGAGCGGTTTAGAAGTGAGAAGGGTAGACCAAAATTGACTTAGTTTGTTGCTTTAGATCTGGCAACGAATAGCCAATTCCAAACTTATCAGGAGCAGTGTTTGGTTTTTGTTGCTGTTATTATAATTTAATGTTGGTTCTTTAATTTTTTTATTTAGGATCTCAAGTTTCAATTTATGAACACAATAAGGGTAGCTGAGAAGCCAGTAAACTTGACTTACATTCACAGTAAGGGTGATAACAGGACAATATTGGATGGGAGTTTGGTGCTTGATCCAGCTAACAAGGTCTCAGCAAATCACATGTTAGGGACGGGGAATACTAAGTTAAAGTATACTTATTTGCATGGAGGGTTGACAACTTTTGAGCCCAGTTATGATTTGGGGAAGAATGCATGGGATTTCATGGTTGCACGTAAAGTTTATGGGGATGATCTTTTCCGGGCTACATATCAGACATCAAGTAAGAATTTGGGTTTGGAATGGTCGCGGACTTCCAAGCTGAATGGATCGTTTAAGGTAAAATGCAATTGTTGTTTAATCTGATGTATATATGCTGGTAGCATTTTGGCATGAATTTGAAAAACTTGTTAGTGCGACGAATTGGCGTGTTGCTTTTCTCTATTAGGTTGCTCATACTGGTTGAAGTGGAAGAGCCTCTAAATTTGAATTCATTATGGCAACTTGACACATGCCCACTAGTACATAGTTGTCAGCAAGAGATGGTTATAGACAATTCATAACATGTTGAGTAGATCATGATAGATCTTGACCGTCTTAAGAAAAGTCTATAATCTACTAAACTCAGATTTTCTTCTATGCTAGCTTTTCCTCAGTGAATATGAGGGGGAATTTTTTATTTTAATTTATTATTGGTCTATATGTGTCTTGTACAAGTGTAGATGGATTGTGGTTGCGCTCTTCCAAAAGTGTACACAAAGGCTATGAATTTTTACCATGTTATGCAGCTATTTAGTTGTGTGGTTGTCATTCTCTAAACACTGTATGTACTGAATTTCAAATATAACATTGTCATAATGGTATTATTTTTACGCTAATAATGCTACCTATAGCACAGCAGCTTTTAACTGCAAATAGACATGTAAATAAGGCTACTTCACATGCTCTCAAATAGTTGTACAATTGATGTCTTACCTATCAGCAGTTGGAAGGTTCTTTTCACTAGTGAAAAGACAAATGCCGGTTTCCTCCCAACCCCCATCCTTGCTCTCTGCCCAAGAGATCTAGCTATCTAAGCACGACACATACCTAATCGGGAAAAATAAATGAAAAGATCTATCCATCTAGGCATGCTGTTATTTTCTTGAGCAGTCGAGCTGTAATTGAGAAAGAGGAACTATAGCATGTCAAACTTTAGGGTCATCTGTGTACAGTCTAGAAAATTGTCGGACTTTAGCTTGTCACGAATACAGCCATGGTGAGTATTCTTTAATTATATGTATGAAAAAGCTCCGTAAAATAGTTTAGGTGGTGAATACAGCCACGATGAGTGTTCTTTAATTATTTGTATGAAAAAGCTCCGTAAAAAAGTTTATGTGGTGAACCCTATATATCCATTTGTGTAGGCTGCCCTTTTTAAATTTTCCAACTGTAGGCATTCCACCCTTTGCAATTACGGAATTGCATGTTTGTACTTCTCAGTTTCTTATGATTATGTATGTTCTTGGTTGGAGGTGTGAATAAAGCAGAAGTTATTCGATAGGATAACTGAGGCAGGTCAACAATGAAATTCTGAACATGAAACTGATGGGGAACGCTTATAGCTCTGATATTGTTTAATGGTTATAGCATGTTTGTAACTTTCAGACTAAAAATGATTTATCATTCTAATCGATGTTAGTAACACTCATCAGTCATCATGATGTAGGAGGACTGGTCAGTTAATGCAACCATGCTATAATACCAAGTTTCCCATTTTGCTATTACTGTTTAGTTGTCAATTGCTGGTCATAGTGATATTATGAGCATGTACGACCCCAAGCTTGCTTGTATTTAAGTTTAGCCATTTGTGCTCGATATTGTTTCCTATGTGTGCCTATGTCTATTTTAAATGAGTTGTGTACCTGTTATGTAATCTTGTTTTCCATTGCATAAATTATATAATAGTTTATTCAGCTATCTTTCTTGATTATCAAGTATACACTGTTCCACGTAGATTTGTATGCATGTTTTGATTTTGTTTTTACCCCGACGCACAGATGCACTAGCCACGTTCAGACCTCTTCGGAACATTTTAAGCTAAATTTCCAAGTTCGCCAATGATTTATTAATAACTTCGATTTCATAATCAAGTAGCATTTTCTTGTTATACAAATTGCTAATGAGCATTAAAATTGTTGAGGTTGTCTCTTAATTGTATTACTTCTAACCTTCTTGATTTTCCTGTCATTTTTATCTTTCCAGATTTCAGCATCCCTCAATTTGGCAGAGGAGCAAAAAACGCCAAAATTATGTGCTGAGACTACCTGGGATTTTGAAATGTGATCCTTTTGCTTGAGTTTTGTAATCTGTTGCATTTGTTTAAATCTGGGAAACGGATTCTTATCCATGAATTCATATTTTTGTGCCGTTTTATGGCACTGTCACTGTTTATCTTGAAGCTGACCTGATTGCAAAATCTATGGTTCAGTTTTCTAACTATATACTGTTCTTGAAAATTGAGAATTTAGCCTATTGCCTACGCATTGTGCAAATCAGGTTTGATTGGGCTTAAACGAAAGTTAGGATTTATTTTGTTCTTATTAATTGTGTTGTCCACTAGTGCACTCCAAAGGTGTGTGAACTCAATGATCGTATGTGAGAGAGAGCAAACAAAATTTAAGCACACACAAGAGGCCCCAATTTCCATCTGGATGCCCACTTTCTGAAGTCCTCTATACTTTTTAATTTGAAAGTGTTAATATTACATCTTATTCAAAGATTCAAGTGGAAAATTTATTTATTTTACTTACTGTTGAAAAAGTTCCCAGATGCAAAAGATTCAATTTTTTTCAGTATCCATAATTTTCATATACAAGTGACAAGATTTAAACACGAATATTCAATGGTGGACCAACTCAATAATGAACTAAAAGTGTTCAAACTTATAACCATGGACCAAAAGATTGTGAATTAACATCGATGTTCCTTGTGCTAAAAAATTGTGAAATCTTGCAATATAGACCCAATTACTTCGGGAAAGAGTTTGAATCTATTGAAGGATAACATGTATAGTGGTTGAAATGAAAGATACATTATTTGTCAAATAGGTTAGACGGGAACTGGTAAGCCCTTCGTTGCCATACTATCAAGAATGTTGTTCAGAGCTTGACACAATCCAACAATCTGCGAAAAAATAACAACCAATATCAGCACAACCAGCTCAGGGCAATTAATGGATGGAGAAGTACGTAGTTCTACGGTTATTCATTCCACTATGCTTTGAATAAGTCACAGAGTGGAACATTACCAATTTGTTTTAATTCATCTTACATCATAGAACACTTTATCAGAGTTAGCAACTGACTTCTCATATTTGCTTTGTGATATGTATAGATGTAACAAACCAATCAAATAGGAACTTGTTAACCATAGCAAGCATTACCTGCTGATCCCATTGTTGTAATTCCTCTGTGTCATCTTCGAAATGTATAACAGCTTCAACCTGACTCGTAGAATTATTACATAACTGTTGAACTCTTATAAAAAGATGCTCACTACAATGTTTAGCATGCCGTTGAGAAGGAAGAAAATGACATTTTTATCAAAAGATCATCTTCAATATAGAACATCAATAACTTTCAAACACTAAAAAGGGGAAAGGAGTACAAAAAATTGCCTGCTAAAATATTTTAAAACTTTTTCATAATTCAAAGAGAAACAAGAGCTATCAAAGAAGTTTCAATAAATTGAATTGATATATGAAAAGAATGATATGATGAGAAGGATTAATGAAACGCCTCAGAAATTGTATACATCAATTTTAATGAAAGTTCTACCTGATCAATAGATCCCCTCATTCTGTCTTCGTAGATCATTTTTGAAGCTATTTTCTCAGCCTGCACAAAGGTTGAATTAGTTTTTAAGAGGCTTTAGCATAGACCTTTAAAAGAACAGCATCATCATATATTATTGATGTGTGAATACACTGGTGTACAACTACATTGCAAAGAAGAGCAAGGAAAGCCAAGAATGTAGTGGGGTGCAATGAAATTTGAGGCACTGGCAAAACACTGTTACTTTTAGTTCCTAGAGAAATCACAAATTGGTACAAATCATTTCGAAATTTGGAACACTAGCAGCTTGGAAGGCTAAATAGGCAATTGCAAGCATTCTATTCTATAGCTTTTCAGTGAAACGAGATTATCTAACTCACAACATTTCATGAGCTTCCATAAGATGTAGGATTTTATAAAGTTCACTTTTCAAAAGAATTCTATCTAATGAGATTTATCTCATTTAAAACCTTCAGCCCCTCAAAACTAGTTGAATCTTTTCAGGTTTTTTACTTGGAAAACTAGGCAAGTAACATGGACAGCCAGACAGAAATAAAGCTGAATATGACAAGCTTGAATAGGCCAATCAAACTCACGGTTAAGCTAGCAACTATATCAATTAATAAGATCGCGGTGCTAGTTTTCCATAACTGGGGATATACAATTCTATTGTTTGCAAATAGACAGTACGCTTGTCTTCTTTGTCTGTACATGTTGCACTAGGTAATGTCATTATTTTGGTAACAAGGGACTGTACCTTCTGAGGAGCAATTCCCAGCAATCTGCCCAATTCATCAAAGCTGAACAGGAGTAATATAAGGGGTTAATGTCATATTATTGGCTATAACTGCAAAAACAATTTCATTTAAGAGAAAAATAGTCAATAACAGTAACATTTTCCACCCACCTTATATTTGTATAAAGTTTGCTAGCACTCAGAAGATTGTGCTCAATCATAGCACGATCAAGAACGGTAAAATTGTCGGGCAAAAGTGCTTGCTGCAAAATGAATCATATGTTACAATTCCCAGCAAAATGATTGCAGATCTACACTTGGAAAATAAAATATTCGAAAATCATCTGTAGAGTAAGATGGCAACCTGATGTGGTTTCAATTCTTCTGCAAAAGCATCAATTTCTGGTTTCCTCAAAATTCTCTCCAAATAAACCTGGAAATTTTCATGCAAGACATCAGCAGTAAGCAGCCTTAATTAATCCACAGCATCTGCTTGTATTTTATATTAACACACAGAAGGATAACTGCCTTTCAGAATTAGGGAGATGTGCACAGATATTTGTTGTTTTTGCAGTTGGTCCTTGTTATGAGTTTAGATCTAAGAGGTTACCTTCTGCAAGATGGGATAGATCTTTAGCTTAGAGCAACGTTCATCCTGGTGGAAGAAAAGAAAGAGGTAGAATTTAATCACAATGCAAAATCGAATCTTGCACAGCTTCAAAATAAAATCATCATGGCAATCTCACTCCAGAATACAGAAGGTAAAAAATCATCAACAAGGCGTTTAGAATGTATATCGTGAAATTAATGGTGACAATCCTATTTAGCAACCTCAAAGGCAAAAGTAAGCAAGTAAATTGTCCACCAGAAGCAAATATTTGACTAAGATATTATGGCACACTCGTGACACTCCAAGAGGAAACATCATAAAAAATTCAGTTTGGAGTGGGCAGGGGACTAACTTCTGCACTAATAATCAAATGTTTTACCAGACATGAACCAACGATCGCAATATTTGGGACTCGTAGTGTTTAATCATAATATTAGGTGATGGTCCCTCAAATTAAAGGACACAAGTCTAACATGTAGACCACATTTTTGAATTAAAGACAGAATAACCTTACCCTATATTATTCGGCCAGATATATTTTTTTCATTTTGACAACTTCCAGTGATTTTATTTCTAAATGCCAAGTAACAGTAATTTGGGGTGAAGAAATTCTATAATCACATCATATAAAATCTTAGCAACGACCACATAGAGAACCGAAACAAATAATCCTCCAAACTAGAAAAGTCACAAAGAAACAACAACACATACATCCTCAAAGAATAATAATCAAATTAGCGAAAAAAGATTCTTGATTAGAAAACACGAATAGAAATTCTGGATGACATAGGAAAATTTAATTGCCATCCAGATAATGATATGAACTTGTACAGTCTACAAATCAGACAAAATAGCTAAGCTAGGTCAAAGTAGTTACTCATACCTTGTAAAGGGTGGCTAGAACACGAGAACGTTGAGGACCCGCAGCAGCCAAAATCGTGCATGTTACTGCAGCAGCTAGAGCTTGCTCTAGTGCTTCTTCATCAATCTCTCTGTGATGGTCAAGTGCTCCATATGAGGACATATAATACTAAATCGTGCATATTGAGTATAAATAAGATCATACTAGTACTGCTCAGATTTAATAAACATTCTCAACACCAAAGACAAAAACATATTCAATTTGTATTCTCTACGATTGTCAGAAGACAAATTCATCCTTGTATGTATACTATAAATATTAATCTTTTTACATCGCATTGAGTACAGTTCTCAGAAGTCAAAATACATGTGTATATGTCCATTATAGATAATTTCATATATAATGTTTGTACACGCGACTTCAGTAGCGAAGCCTTCAATTTAAGAACTGAAGACCTATTTCTTTCGACTTCGATCACAGAGTTAATAGCTAATACTTCTACATAAGCTTAATATAACCAATAATTTCTTTAAAGAATGATCGTTTGGCATCCAAACACAAAGGCATATTCTATTCTCTTTGCTTGTCAAAAGACAACAGTCACATGTCTAGTATAAATGACAAAGTTTTTACACCACATTTTAGTACTACTGTCAGAATAGAATACAAAACGCCATATCTTTCCAGGGTATATAAGTTCATATACGATGTTTCTACACCCCATTTAGTACTTTTACAAAATCTTAATATGTCGGTTAATTTGTCAAGTATATGCTTGTTTAACATCACTGCTTAACGTAAAACTTTATTTACAAAATTTAACATCGCTTTTGTTTCAATTCAATTAACTATGTGAAGGAAAACAAAGGATAATTATGAAGTCCGATGCGTGAACTGTGACCAAATGCTATAAGATAACTATACGGCTGAGATTCAATTAAGTGAATTAGAAATCTGTATAAAAATATTAGAGACAAAAACCATGGAGCGCATTACAAGTTGATAATCAACATCTTTTCAAATACACATACTCATCTCCAATCTGTCGCTGCTCAATTTGGGAAATTCCATAATAACGCAGGGCAGCTTCCAGGAATTTTCTCTTCAAATCTAGAATCCTAGCATGGCAAACCTGTTAAATGATAAATATAGGAATGCGTTCAGTGTAATCTAGATACTTCATATCATCGAGCCAATTTTTTTCAATGTCAACCTTGTACTGCAAATTCAACACTTCATGCCGACTGTTGCTAACCAAAAAGGAAGCCTTGTTTATAAAAGCTTCTGCATTAACTGCGTCATCATCCTGAAAATCAAGAAACAAGCATATAAGTTCCAGTTACTTCGTCATTGATATCCTCGATATAGCTTTGAGATAACCATAGTTCAAAGTTCACTGAATGATATAAATAGTTCATAACACCATGCAGCATTTGTTTCTAGAATATAAAGCATCTGACATTTGTATTCAATAAACAAGGATATCCAGAGTAACACTGCTCAACTGCAAAAGAGACACTGGGTGCAAAAGTACACAATTATATTTGAGGAATATAGAAATATAAGTTAAAAAGCATAAATAAGGATTATTTTTTCACGATTTGTGACGTAAACAAGACAAGTACTTTTGGAACTACAGTTGAGAATTTGGCAATTGCTCTCAATAAGATGCACAATGAACACAAACTTCATGAGTGGAAATGTTGGCATCAAATCTTTATGTGGGTATCAATGGTCTCAGATTACATATATTACCCAATGACACAAAAAAAAAAAAAAAAAAAAGAAGCCCTTTTATGATGGCTATTATAAAGAGAAATTGGGGGAAATGATGTTTTGAATAGTAATTTTTTTTGAGAAAGTGTGATTAAAAAGTAGGAAAAAGTTTTGAATTTAAGTGCAAAATATTTATGGTGTGAATGTATGGTTGAAAATGAGTATGAGAAATAAAGAGTTATGTAATGAAGAGAGTCAAACAGGGGCTTAATGAACTGATTGACGACATATCTAAAAAAATTCTGACTGCTGATAACGTGCCTTTATGAATTCATGTAGACAGTATATGCACACGTGTGCATTTGTGGCATTTGAGGGGAAATTTTCCAAGTCTAACATGCATGGCACATCCACATAAAAAGGTTTGGTAACATCAAATTTAAATAATAAAATTACACGGCCAACTCAAGAAATACCTCAAGGTAAAGACGAGCAATTTGGACACATTTTGACAGCCTAAAGGTATCGTCAATCGCTCTGCAAAAAATGAGAGAATGAAAGAAAAATGTCACAATAAATTCCACGAAGAATATATTAACTAAAAATGAGAGAAAAGCATCTATCTGCTGACCTCATTCCAGAGTCTAGATCAATGCCACTAAGCATCTGTGCAGCTTTTGACCACTGTTGCTCAGATTCATACAACTCAGCAAGTTTTTCTCTAATTATCAACACCTGCAATCATACGCATCGATAAGAATTTTGAAGCCAGATAATTTATCCAGAAAACAAACTAGGGAATAAAGAAGACAGGGTATGGAAAATAGCAATTAAAGCCATAATTATTATGATGGCAATTGAAGCATGATCCCTTAACGAAAGCAAACAGTGATATTATTTGATTGAGCAGCCTATTTGGGTTAATGCGCAGATATGTTGCTTTAGGAGCTAATAAAAAGATGACATGCCTCTTTTCTGGCTTCGTAAAAATTCATATATAATTCATATCTTAAATATGGATCATCTAAGATGATAGATATTGAGAGTGAAACATCCCTACCAACCATCTGGTGCAAACTCAAAAAGAAACTTACACTGAAACGGAAAAATATAACTGAAGAATAGGTTATAGGGGAAATTTCAAATTACAGTGCAACAGTTTTCCAACAGTGTCAATTTCAGACGAAACTGCTCGAACTAAAGGAAGGAAACAACAATTGACATGGATTGTCCAGGTTCCAACTTCTTTGACCAAGTTTATCGACAGAAATGTATAGAATTGAAGAACATAAGAATGAGTAAAAGACTCGTCAACGCCAGATTCAAAAGATCCAAGATGCAGAAAATCATCGAAGAGATTAAGATAATTGTAGAACTTAACCAAGTGGCAGACAGTTAAACTGTAGCTCAATTTTTTATTTCTTTTCTTTTCCAAATTCTTGGGAAAGGGAGCTAGCCCGTCTCCTAATGGAACCACTGCAAGTGAAAAGTGACAAGCAACTAGCATGTATCAATTCACCATTGCAAAGATATGTAACTTATACCCAGCTTTTATACTCATATTATGAAAGTAAAGGGGCTTAATTCCTCTTGATTCCTTCCAAGAGTTTCCTTCCCACCAATTAGGAGATCCAATATCTTGCAAAATCTAGCAGTGATGTGCTTTCTCAATATATGAAAGACCACTTGGATGACATACAGCTTGATGTGTGCAAGAGTTAAAGATTTTGCATAAATTCACCATTCTAAGAAGCATTCAAGGAAGTCCGTTACTGAATGGGTGTTTGGTGGGTATTAAAATTAGATTTTTAGTAGATTGTAACACTCGATATTTTTTAGGAAAAATTTAATTGTTTTATGTGTAGCTTGAAGTTGAGGGACTAGAATGAAATAGATTTTGATTCTTAATTTATTTGAGCCTAATAATTTGTTTTTGATAGGGCAAAAATTAGTATATCAATATTGGACTCTTTTAGTAGGTTTTAATTAATTAGAAGTCTTTGACTCGAGAAAATGTTAATTTGAATAAGTTAAGTACAAGTTATTGAAGTTCAAAGACGTTATCATTAATTGGTAATTAATCGAGTTGGTTTATGATTAGATGGCAGCCGTCCACCACTACTCTCAATTTGTGATAAATCATAGATAATAAAAGACTTTTTTTTAGAAATCAAATAAGAGTTCAATTGTTCAATTGTTTGTTTGTATTAAAAAAAAAAGGCCTCATATCTAATGCAATTAGGAGTCCAACTTATCTGACCATCTGCATTACGTTATCTTATTCAGGAATGCATGTATGGATAATGATAATATAATAATTAGGATTAGATCAAATCAAATTTGATTTAACATAAAACTTATCAATTACTCTAGCCTAAACCTATATATATAGCACACGGTTCCAAAGCTTTTACTTACAGAAAGTTTCAGAAAGTTTTTTATACTTGTTTTGAAATCAGAAAACGGGGAGCCAATTTGCAACCATTATATATATATACACACTTACCCATATTCGACGAAGCAAGGATTTTGAGAGAAGAATTTGGAACGTCATTCATATTTCGTTCAAAAGAAATTTCATTTTATTTATCGAGGTAAGATATCTTTTCTGCAAGTCGATGTTTCTGTATACTTTTATGGTCAATGATTTATGCATTAATTGTCAGTGGACCTTCGGGTTCGACCTAACGAAATGTGAAATTCTTTGGGATTTCAAGATGAGAAATGATGAGTATCTCGCTTGGTCACCGGTATACTCCATAAAGAGAAATGTGGTATGAATTATCTATATTATTGTTATATAATTGTGTATGAAAACTGCACATATCTTACTGAGTATTTTTAAATACTCACTCTTACTATAATTTTTCTTCAGGTTAGTGCGGATCGATTGGAACTGTGACGAAATGGTGCAGCGAACTGCTAAGGGATTTTGACATGTGAAAGACGCTAAGTTTTACTACCTTTAGATTTATTGGTTCAAATAGTTCAAATATTATTATTGAATTAGTTAGTCAAGAATAAATATTTTTTTAAAGATACGATTTCATGATTTAAATTTAAATTTATGAGTGTTCAAATATCTTGTTTATTAAAGAATTCTATATTTTATCGTTACGCAAAGAAATTGAATTTTTGGTAACATCCCAATGTTTGTAAAAATTTGGTTACAGATTTTGACTTAGATTAAAATCTTATTTTAATCCGAAACAAATAGAGCCCGAGAGAAATGGTGATCTTGGCTTGCCACCCTACTGCTAGAGAGGGAACTTTCGAACCACATTTCCTAGTCAGATGGTCCTTTACAAATATGTACATGCAACTCGATCGATTAATAGGGATAGCAAGAAAATCCGACAAACCCGATATCTGCGGGTCCCACCCTATGATTACCCGCTTAATTGGATATTTGGGTCAGGGAGAGGAGGGAAACTTCACCTCGAGGCGGGTACAAGTAACGGGTACCCCGCCTCGCCCCGTTTCATTTAAAAAAATTTTTTTTTTTTAGAATTCAATACTTTCAATGAAAATTTTCATGAAATTTCATTAGTTCTAATAAAAAATAGCAACTAAGATTATCTAAAAAATATGACAAACAATTAAAGTCTTAGTTTACCAAATATATTTGAATAATTTAACATTTAAACATAAATTAAAAATTAAAAAATATATTATTATCTCACTTTAATGAATGGGGCACCGCGTTAAACGGGTAACGACGCTGGTATGGGGGAGGTTGCCCGTCCCACCGCACCCTGTTCCGTTGCCATCCCTGGCAATTAAGGTAGAGCGTACGAAGATGTGACATTTGCTTCGTCTGGTTTTTTGTCTTCGCTCAGAGGATATAGAATTAGGAAAGTTTGTACCTTGATCTATTTCCTATCCACTTCTTTTGATTTTGAAGACTTAACAACTTAAGCCAAACAAAGACATTATGATTTCACTATCCCTACTGCTTCCATTTCCCATAAAGACTCTATCTCTACAACCACCTCATTTTTCCTTTCACTACAAACAAAGCAATCCACTTCCATGTCTCACAAGGCATCAAAGAGATTGTCAATCTCCAAACTCCATCAAAGTCCTTGCGATTTCAGCATCATTCTATATATCAAAGCCAAGGTATCACATAAGTCAAGTACCATATTGCAAACAATTCCTCTTTCAAACATCCATATCTTGATTATCACATACTCCCGCATGCATCACTTCATAAAAATCAGCTGCCGTTAAAGATGATTCTGATAAGATACGACAAACAAACTAAAGCAAATACATCATCCTAAACACTCAATTGCTTTAATTTAGAAGCAATGGGTAATTGGCCATCTCCATAGCTCAAAATATGCTCTCACATTATTGCCAACTTATTCATGACATTATATATTGGGCAAGAATCTATCGCCTAGACATTCAGCTGCTTTAGTACTAATTTAGAAGCCCATAATTTTCCATTTAGAGTCTGGACTAGATATTTTTTAGCTCAACAAAGCAAAATACGGACTATATTTGCGAAGGGTATTGACAGAAATTAGATAAAGTACTGGGCTAGAAAGTTCACCTGTTCTTCAAAAGAAACAACCCGAGGCTGAATCTGGTTGAGGGTATAATGGGCAATCTCCTTCTGAAACTCTGGCTCCAACCTCCCGAGCTCTTGGGCGAACGTTTGTATAAGTTGCCTTGATACCATAAGCGGAACATCATCCGATAACACTGAAGAAATCCCAAAAAGTAAATGCTACAAAAATTAACAAATAGAGGCAGAACAAAACAAATGCTGTAAATAAAGAATCAAAAAGAGCAATGAAAAAAGTAAAATGCTAAAGTTGAGCAACCGTGATCAATGAACTGTTTGGCCTGAGCAACGTCGTTGGAGGAGAGGACGGTGGCGAGAATGTGCTTATACTGTTCGATCTTTTGCCGCTGGTCACTGATCGCTGACGCGCTGGCGAGAGCATTGTCCATGATTGTTTTTGGGGATTTTTCTTCTTCTAGGGTTTTGCTAATTCTATGTGATGTGAATCAACTTTGAAGGCACCGCTGCACTGCCCGTCTGCCGCTGCGTTTGAGCGCGTGTCCTTTACTGTTTTGCCGTAGTGGGAATTGATTTTTGCGAATTCTCCAAAATAGCCCCGGCTCGAGTTGACAAACCATTATCTTTGGGTAAAATAGAAATTTGAACAATGATTTTTTAGGGGATGTTTGATTAAAAAATAGAAAAAAGTTTTAAACTTAGGCTTCGTTTGGGAGTCATTCTTTTTTCAAATAATACATTTTTTCTTTCACATCAAGTGGGGTCCATGGCTGGAAAGAGACAAAAAATGTGTGATTTAACACAAAGAATGCATTTTTTTGTAGAAAAATGGTTACCAAACGAAGGCTTAGATGTAAAATATATTATTGAGTGAATTTGTGACCGAAAGTAGAAAATAGAGTTTTGAAATAATGGTTGTTAAACTTGGGCTAAATGAATATTAAGCCGCTGTTTGGTCCCCACTAAAATTATAATTTATTTTTCTCTCTCTTATTATTAATCACACATTTTTCAATAAAATGATATTAAACGTAAACTCAAAATTATTTCTTCTTTTTTAAATACATATTTTTCAAAAAAATATTATTCTAACTATCAAAATTTCAAATAATAAGGGCTAAACAAGTGGCCATTGAATTTTACTCATGGTTATTACTTGCTCGCTAAAAATTAAATGGAATGCTTACCGAAATATTTCATTAGTTTACATATCCATTACCATAGCCAATTTCATTGTACAAACAAATATATCTATGTGGCATACAAAATGTGTAAATCATAGCCTCGTCATCAAAAAATTGTATTTTGGAAATAAATAAATAAACGGGAAATTAAAAACGATTCCTTCAATGGTTAATCTTCATCTCCTCCAAATCACATTCTTCTCAAAATCACCTTCCTTCCCAACGAGACTTCTGTTCTAATAGATACTAATTAGTCATTTGGTTCATCATATTGGAAGTGTTGACACACAAAAAGTGTAGTCCAAATTAGATAGCCCAAGGAATGAAGCTCAATTGGGAAATCCAGGATAAAGGCCCAGATGGGCCATTAATGAATGCGGTGGAGGCTCACGAACAAAGTAACATCATCGTCCAAACTTGGAGGACGCCCAGAATTTGAACGAATGAAATACCTTATAATCGTCCAGAGCGATGAACATTTTCTCGCCCAAAACCCTCTAATCGCCCAGGAATTAAGCGAATCTAAGATATTATGATTATCCAAAACAACAGTTATCGAAACAGTTATTGAACAATCATATCATATCCCACGATCCATGGATCTCAGTTGTAGACGGTTGAACTACAAAAGTAATGGCAACAGTCAGAGACGGCAGTTCCACGACACGACAAGTGAGCCATCATGAAAAAAGTGGGTAGTTATAGAGCAATTAAGCAATTTCCAAACAGTTCATCACAAAGAAATTATCAAGAAAGTATAAAAAGGAAGAGAAGACATAAAAGAAATGCCCGAATCAAACACTCTTAAATAGATAATATATAATTTCAATTTCTTAGATTAAATTTAAATTATCCATTTTCGGTACTCGTATGTTTGCGCCCCTTCGAGGCACTTTATTTATTTCCAATTGTAACTTTCATCAATAAAGTACCCCTTTTTAGAACTTTGTCTCAAAAGGTTTGTCCCTTACACAATCGTCTGATCATTTTTTTTAATTGTTAGCGACAATCCGAGCGAAATAATTTAGCACGCCCAGTGGGACAATTGGTGTTTGGTGCTTGATACAAAAAGTGAAGCACTATACCTCATAAAAATTCTGATAAGGAACTAGCAAGTCAGGAAATAATCAAGTCTGTAATCGAGCAATATGAGGAGCAGCAAAACTCTCCACGAACAGAGGGACAAAGTCAAAGCAGTCACAGTCGTTACGAACCAATGACAAAATTGAGTATTCAAACCATGTGTGCATTGCTTGGGGAACTCACACGGGATGTCGTTGAATAGGTAAATCTACGAAATATTCATAATATGGAAATATTTACCAAAAGTAGGAATGCACATTATGACAACATGACCAAACAACTGAATACATTAAATGAAATAATGAACAAGTTAGTAGGCTAAATGTGTTAGCCAATTATGCCTATTGTAAACCACTTTTAAATCAGGACAATTGCGGGGCAAAATTGACCACATAATTCTTCTGGTTTGAACTTAAATCAAGGATTAGAGCTACCCTTTGGTCCGTCTACTTCAAACCAGTGGGGTAATGGAACGCCAAACTTGAATGGTGGTAATAGGATTACAAACCTGGGGGTAATCCAAATATAAGAAACAATGTCCTGAATGATGGATAGAACGTCCCTGGCATTAATGATGGTTTGAATACTCAGTTTAATGGTAATAATGGTCCAAACAATGGCAATTTTGTTGCCAACCAAGGACCAAATATTAGGCCCCAAGCAAATCAACCATTAAACCAACCTGTAGGAATTCCATATGCTCCCAATGTCATGTTGAGATATCAAATCATGGAGATAATACATGATCAAATGGCTTTTGGGGTATGTAGCCTACTTACGCGAAGCCATATCCTGATTGGGTGGATCAAGCATATCCATGGCCTAGAGGGTACAAGGTACCTGAATTTTCATTATTCTCTGGTTTAGGAGAAGTGTCCACTCTAAAACACATAGGACGATTCACGCTGCAAAGTGGTGAAGTGACAGACTATCATAAAATGAGCTTGTTCCCTAGTTCATTAACAGGAGTAGCTTTCTCTTGGTTCATTAATTTGTCAGCGAACTTTGTTCAAACATGGCAATAATTGGAACAATTGTTTCACGCTCGGTTTTATAAGACTGAGTCTGAAGTTACTTTGACCAATTTGGCGAATCTACGTAACTTCAAATGCCAAACGAATGGGCTGAATGTTTCCTTCAAAGGTTTAAGACAGCAAGAAATAAATGTTTTGTACCTTTGGCCGAAAAGAGTTTGTCAAAAGCGCTCAAAATTGTTTAAACTTTGATTTGAAAAAGAAATTCCGAGACAAGGAATTCCCTAATCTTTTCCAACTTAGTGCGAACGTGATTAGATATGAACGACTGATAAGAGAAGAAGAGCAAATGAAAAATTCTAGTAAGGGTACTTATTATAGAGACCCAAATTTTGATGTTCATACCATTAATGACGAGTATCATGATCAAACTGAAATGTGTTTAGCCGAATTAATCAAAGCAGATGCGTATATTTGTCCTATAATGGCTAAGGCTAGATCGTCGAGTAAGGATGAGCCTATAAAAGATGAAAACATAAAGGCTAGAACGTTCTCGTTCGATGTAACCAAATCTGAATTTATATTTGATAAACTATATAAGGATAAACATATAAAGTTGAGCGATAAACATAAGTTGCCAAGCCCTAAACAAATTAAGGGTAAAAAATATTGTAAGTAGCTTAATATATGGTCACATTTGACTAACAACTGTTTAGTTTTCGCCATGTGTTACAGGATGTCATTGAATCAGGACGAATTACGTTCGAGAATAAGAAAAAGATAGCAGTGGATGAAAACCCTTTTCCACAGTCACTTGGAGTGAACATGGTGACAACTGGTTTCAAAAACAAGTTGTCAAAATTCAAGTTGATTATAGATGATGGAGAAGAGGACTCTGGGCCATACCCCAGTGTTTTTAAACGTATCAAAGGGAAGGAGCCTAAAAAAGATGAAGACTTCCTGTGTGCAAGATGTAAAGGAGAAGTGAGTGCAAATATAGAGAAACCAAGGATATGGCAGCATCACCATCGCCCTAATTTTTTCCCAAACGCTCAGCCTGTTAGAGGGCGAGGTACATCATTCTATAGATGATCGCCTTTTGAGAGGCAGACCAGGTCAATAAATAATGGGAGAACATTCAGGCCGCAATCTTGCCAACCAAATGTATGGCATTCATTTGAGGCAGTTCAGGTCAATAAATAATGGGAGAACATTCAGGCCGCAACCTCGCCAACCAAATGTATGGCATTCATTCCAATATATTGTAGGAAGGGTGATACCCTTCAACGAGATGACTAGAACCCAACAAAGGCGTTGTAGCAACCGAGAAATTTTAAATAATGCAAAAATTATTTTTTCTTGAAAAATGTGTCGCTAAGTTTTAATCTCAAATATTAAATTGAAAGCGTGTTTGTCTAGCCGTTGTAAAATCCATTTAAAACTATTCAAGTCAAGTCCAATCCCAAATAATTTTAAAGTATCCAATCCTTTATCATTTTAAAGTCAAGTTTTAATAATTTTAATGTACATCTTCATCTCCCTCAAATTTGGAAACTCATGTAGATGCTAGAATCAATTTCTAGCACCAACAACATCAAAATTGGAAACCCATGTTGATGCTAGAACATCAATTTCTAGCACCAACAACACCAAAACTTACAATACTGCAGATTCAAACCACCATCACCAACTCAGACACTGCTACTTCAAACCACCAATCTAGTCCGAAACTCAATTTCCTTCACCATCACCGAGTGCAACCAACAATATTTCTCTCAAATTGGAAAACTCACGTTGAAGCCGAGAGCCTCAGTTTCCATTACGAAACTCACTACACCACCAAACCAGTTACTGCCCAAACCATCACTCACGAGACCAACACCACCAAGCTCACTGCCCAAACCACATACAACTCCATACGGACACACACATCAACGCCGAAACTGCTACTCCTTCACCTCCAAAATCGATAGCCACTTCACCCCAAAATCGACACCCAATCAACCACAAAAACCAAGAAAAAACATAACCCATAAACTTACCTCACTCCCCAACCCATTTCCAGCTTGATCTGCCAACAAGAAATCCTAAGAACCCGAGCCTTCCGCCTTGGACTAGCCTTCGACCCGTGTGCCAAAACTACCCAGCCGCTTCCACACACGCACTGGCGCCACCATGCGACGGTGGCAC